ATTTCTTTAATTCTTAGGCAGCGATCGCTGCCTAGCTGCCTTAGCCAGTCCGGCCCTGTTCGAGGGTTGCCAAAACTCCCCGGATAAATCATGTATTTTTGGGGATAATTATTCATATTTTTCCATGAAATTTTCAGGTATTTTAGGTCAAATTGGAGACAAAATCCTCTGAAAAATTTGAGGTGCAAAACATTAAACATTTTCCAGTAAATTCGGTTTTATTGAAGGGAATCTGGCAACGCCCGAAGGCTCATACGACGTTTTTCCTAAGCTCGCAGTCTAGCCCCACTTTTTCTCTCGCTCCGTGTCTTATTCTACCGCACTACGGAACGGAAGGACGTCACATGAACATTTGAGAGTTGCCAAATTTCCCCAAATAAAACCTGTATTTTTTTTAGGAAAGTAATGGATATTTTTCCTTGAAATTTTTAGATATATTTCAGACTAAAATGCGAGTAATATTGTCTGAAAATTTGAATGAAAAATTTTCACACTTTTCCCAGTAAATTAAACTCTTACTGGAGGAAATATGGCAACGTCTGAAGGCTCATACGGGGTTTTTCCCTACACGAAGAAAAAATCTTCGTGCGTGGGACCCGAAGTTTAGGTCATATGGATCTCTGAAGTTTTCGGATTGGGCATCTGAACACTTTAGGTCCAGCTGCTGAGGTTTGGATCACACATCTGAAACTTCAGTTCTTACATCAGAAGTACTCCGGTTTTCACAGCCGAAAAACTTCGGTTCTCACATCCGAAAAACTTCGGTTCTCACATCTGAAGTATTTCAGATGTAAGAACTGAAGTTTCTGATGTGTGATCCGAACCTCGACAGCTAGACCTAAAGTGTTCAGATGCTCAATCCGAAAACTTCAGAGATCCATATGACCTAAACTTCGGATCCCACACAGTTAAAAAAAAATGGACTTGTGTATTATTGTGTAGTTGTTTTTAGAAATTTCAGTGTACTTCTTCTGAAAATCTTGGAGTAAAAATACTCGAGGTGGAGAAAAAGTGCACAATCTCGATGAATAAACACAAATAACAAAAAAATGCTCACAAAAATTACTCAAGGGCTCTTCTGACTGAGTGAAATCGTAGAACTTTGTGTTTTCAAAATAAAAACACAACACTTGCAACATATTCTGAGCTCTTAAGAAAAGATGCACAATAATATCACGACTCGGTGTTTCTTTTCATTAACGAGAGAGAATGTTTTTACGGTCCTAAGAAAATATTCTTACGTCGGTGTTGTTTTGCACACTCGTAGACTAAAACATCATGGTGCAAAGAGAAATAAAACACAGGCAATCTCGAGAAAAAAACTCAAAACGGTTGGGCACCAGAACCTCTGTGGGTTAAAATAAATTAACCAATTGGGAGAAAAAATACTCTACTAGTATGATTAAGTTCTGAAATGATGTAAAGAAATACACTACAAATATATGAAAGTGCACGAGTTTGTGCACAAATTAACAGCTCTGTGTGTTAATGCTCATTGTTCGTGTGTAAAAACACAGTGGTTGTGTATATATTTTGGTTCACGCATGCGCAGTAAGTCCCCGTCTCGCAACGCAGATACCCATGATCCTCAGTTAGAGCGTGCGCGATCCGCGAGACCCATGTCCAAGTGAATTGTGCAACCCAGGTCGAGTGTTCTCCGTTGTATATTTTTAACGTATTAAGCATTCCATTGCGTGATATACTTATTTTGTTTGAACGATAGCATCGTTACGAAAAGGCTCCGCTGCCTTATACTTAGTGATTTATAGTGATTACGAATGGAAAGACGAATGAACAACTAGCATACACTGTTAAAAATCTTTCGGGAAACCCGTAGTGAAATGCGGAGTGACCTGAGATGCGCAGTGAAAATCACTCCGTCGAGGAGTTCGGAACTCTCCATGAAAGTGAATTGCCGCCATAGCGAGACAATGTCGCTGCAGCGAATCAGTTGTTAACTCCCCACTTTTACCCGGAGTGATTTTCACCCCGAGCAGAGAGTGCGCCATTGCGCGCACTACTGCACAAACGCGACCCATGAGAATAAGAGGCGTGATTTCAGCCTTATCAACCATCCGACCCTCGAGGTTCAGTGGCAGAGCACTGGACTATCACCAACGCGGCTCGGGTCCAAATCCACACGGGAGCGCTCGGAATTTTACGCTACAAATCGTCGCAGGATCTAAGGTAAATGGTTAATGTTGTCATTACTAAGGTAATCCGAATTTCAATTGTGATAAACTTGTAGAAACCCGTAACTAATGTTCATGGCAAGAACTTCCATGTCTATTTGACAGCGTGCGCTGAGTATGTCGTAGAAAGTAGTTCAGTCATTAATTGACAGATAGCACTATCGGCGTGATTTCGTGAAATTTTGAAACCCTGCGCGGTAGCGTCGCGTGAATTCTTGTAGCAGCATATTGCCCCTTCCTCGAGCCTCCCCTCACCTCTCCTGAAATCACTCCTTTGTGTGATGATTAGCACCCTGTGGTCGGGGTGCATTACACGCCGAGTTCAGGAGTGTTGTTCCCTCCGCGCCGTCGGTCACTCGTTCGTATTTTCACTCGATTTTTCCATGGGCAAAATAGAGGCGAAGTAAGAGTGATTCTTACCCCGGAATCTTCTAAAATTTCTAACAATGTAGCCACATGGCAACACTGTCGAGTTTGGAGAAGCGTACATCCGGACGGAACCTAGAAATTTTTCGGACACGTTTTATCTGTGTACAGATGTATAATTCTCTACCTAATGATTTTAAGGATCTACCTCGTGAAGGTAACTTAGTAGCAATTTTCTATCAATTGAAAACGTTCTGTTTAGTAGGAAATGCATAAGATTCAAAAGAGTTCTTATAGGTGATTGTTCTTCTTAATCTTTTAACACAGCCTGCTTTTTGACATGCATCATAGCCGTCATTTGGCGGCATCTATGTATGCACTGTTGAATAAATAAATCTCAAGATTATGGTGAATATTTATTTAATTGCTTCCTGAACACTTGAGCATTCGATAGATAAAGAATGCCTTTACTATTGTAGTGCTATCTTCTATCCAAAGATTTGTTTCTATAGTCTAACTTGTTTGATTTTTTTATGAGTATGATACGAATTTGTGATGTTTGAAATTCTTTGATAACTGTTGGAGGGACACTAACTTCTTCCATTGTGCTCAGTGGAATTTGCACAACGATGTGAAAAAAAAACTAAAGTTTAAGTTTATATGGGAACTGGGTCAAATATTTACACAAGCCTTGCATATTTCTGAAAAAAAAAACTCGCTTGAATTTACACAAATGATCAGCGTTTATACTCAAATTTTGTATTTTTTTTCTCTTGAGTTTAGGAATAAATCGACAACTTCCGAGTTTATTCAAACTCAATGACTAATTCTAAAAACACAATACTAGGAATAAACTTCGGTGTTTTTGTGTGTTTATTCACAGGGTTGGGTTTTTTTTTCTGGAACACGAGTAAAAATTGTGGAAAAAATTGTTTAAAAAACATTTACAATGATGTGTATGAATATCAAAGTATGGACTATTTTAACACAAATCTGTTCAAGTATATACTCGGGGATGTGTGCGAGTTTTTACGCTGACACAAGGCTTGTGAAATCATTTGACCCAGTTCCCGTATAAACTTAAGCTTGTGTATTTTTTTTTTAACTGTGCACGCACGAGGTTTTATTCTCCGTGTAGCACGGCAGTATTCACTTCTTATTTTTGGCCCGCGGAGTCATCCGCAGTAGGATCCACCACTGGTTGCCACCGATGTTACTGATGATTGGTGTTACGTCAATCATGCAGGTAAGTCAGGATATTCGTCGCCCTCCTGGCATAAAGGCGTAACTGCGTTTCGCGATGAGCCCTGTTGTCCATTAAACTCGATGCTTTCCCGGGCTCATCTCGATGTAGACATGCCCCTTTGTCGGAGCCTAGCGACGTATGTATAGATGGTTTGTAATACCTTCGGAGACGAAGACGTAGATGGAGGCCGGCTCGGTGTTGGAGGCGCTGCAGGTGTAGTTGCCGTTGTCGGACTCATCTGCGCCGGCGATGGTGAGGATGCTCTGCGTCTTCGGGCCCGGCTTTGTCTCCACAGATATCCCGCCGCGCGCCACGTCGTAGTTGATCATCCGGTCGTTGTGGTACCAGAACACATACTGCGGCGGCATTGGGCTCTGAAACAAAAGCAAATCCTTGAGTTATTCCATGCCGAGACCCACTTTCACTCGCCGACTCCCCAAGTCCCGAGGAATCAAAACCCGGATCTACGTAATCCTTAGGATAAGTTGCAGTACCTATATAGGGAGAGCAAGGACGGGATGAAATATAGAGCTTTTAGGGCTCAAAAGAACAGCCAACCTTTGAAAACGAAAACTGTCACTGCCAATGTTCAGATTAAAGTATCAAGCCAAGATGGCCAAGAATATTCATAAATGTGCGTTTTCCGCAAAAATGAGTAAAATGGAGATGTTACATGTGTGAGAAATTTGCGATTTGACCATTGATTCTTACGTAAAAGTTCGCGAGAAACACGATGGTGCCACTGGTTTTCTCTGAAATCAACTCCCAAGCTCAAAAAAAGCTCTCAAGTTGAGGCCAAAATGGAGGGGATATCCCGGCCTACCCTGAGAGTCCACCTCTACATCAAAACAAACTCTCCATGCAAAGATAGGGTGCAAATATATTAGCAGGGTTGCCGTGTTTTCAGTTTTGGAGTCCCCAAATAAAGTGGCAGCCCTGTCAATGTATTTGCTCCCTTTGCATGGAGAGTTTGTCTTGATGTAGACGTGGACTCTCAGGATAGCGTGGGATATTCCCTCCATTTTGGCATCAACTTGAGAGCTTTTTTTGAGCTTGGGAGATGATTTCAGAGAAAATAAGTGGGATCATCGTGTTTCTCACGAACTTTTACGTAAGAATCGACAGTCAAATCGCAAATTCCTCACACATGCAACATCTTCATTTGGAGTACCTATATAGAGAGAGTACGGACTTGTCAAAATCTGGAGCTATAGAGCCCAAAAGAATAGCTAACCTTTGAAAACGAAAACTGTCCCTGCCAAAGTTCAGATTACAATATCAAACCAAGATGGCCAAGAATATTCATAAATGAGCGTTTTTCTGCAAAAATGAGTAAAATTATGCAAAAATAAGTCAAACATGTGCTTTGCCAACGAAGGATCGTGACAGTTATTGTAATAATAAGTCGCACTGGATAATTTGAATTCATAGATTGGCTGCCTTTTTGGGCTCTAAGAGCTCCATCACCCGACCTCAAAATTGCCGGCATGTCTGTCATGTGTGCTCCATAAGAAAACAAGAAAATCATAAAAATTTGGAACAAACTCTCTCATTTAAAAGAGGATTGTCGATTCTCTCCAGCAAATTATGGTACGACACCGGCACTAACCATTAATTTGAGCCGTGTCGATTTATGTCCGGCAAGAGTTTGGCTTCTAACTTCCACATAAAGGTCGCGCCCATGCATGTTTCTATGTTTTCCTTTATTTTGGACCTATGTGCAGAAAATCTGCATGAAGTTACATGCTTAAAATGAAAATTTGAACTTGATAGGCTACATTTATTGCGTTTGAATTTCACCGGTGCGTTAAATTGTATCTAGCAAGCATTCAATAAATGTTACATAATGATTGGCATATAGAGATGAATGAAGCACTGACCTTATCGATGATGCAAACTAAGTTGATGGAACTTCCTTCGTTGACGTGATGCTCTCCGCTTCCAAGAATGAGAGCTTTGGGCACAACCACGTGCAGGTTGACAAAATGGGATATGATCCCTGCCCCTGTCGACACCTGTGTATAAAAATTCAGAATTAGCACTCAGAGAAAACCGATCGGCCGTAAAGTTTGTAAACATTAGTTTAGGCAATGTAATTTAAATAATTTTGGTGTTTTGGCAAGTGAAACTATTAAATTGATTTAACCCCGAGTTTTTTCTCGCGTCATAGCGCCTTCAATTTTGCAGATGCAACACGGATATCCATCAAGCGCGAACAGTCGTATCCCTGCGCCGTGATCGACGCGCGTCCCTTCCCTTGCTCTATTTCCAAATTTTGTTCGTTTCCGTTTGTCTGTTATGTGGTGGTGCTTTAAAAGAATACGTGAGCAACACACCCGAAGATAGGACAGACGTAATCGGCCCTAGTTTTTTTTAAAATTTTTCTCCCGAATCTGAAATGCACCTCATTGACACTTGACAGCATGTAGCGGAGTATCGCGAGTTCACGGCTCGCCACAGCGCGCCTTCAATTTTGCAAATGCAACACGGACATCCATCAAGCACGAATAGTCGTATCACTGCGCCGTCATCATCGCGCGTCTTTAATCTAGCTGTATTTTCGAGTCCCTTGAGCGTAAGCTTCCCTGATTGTTTGATTACATCTTCTCTTTTGGTCTTTGGGTGTAGGAAAAGTGCCGTAACTAAAATTTTTACTTTTAAGTTTTAATTATTTATTTATTCGGGAAAAAGTTGTGTCGTGTCAGGGATATGTTTTGAAGACTACCTTCCGCGTAAAAGATACCTGTAAAATAACTTTATCACCCCTTCATGTGAATTTTGTAAGACTTTCCTCACCCCCCTCGAGAAAATAACTAATGTAGCTTTGAAAATAACTGAAAAAATCATTCTCCTTGAAAATATTTACATATTTTAAAAGAAGAGGCTTACGTAAGACTGAACTTGACCATTTCTCCTTCGTAAGACCTGGTACGGCAAGCTCAGACCCCCTTCCTCTTCTCCCTCCTCACATTCTCGTGAGTGGTTCCCATAATACTCGAACGACCGTTTTTACAAGAGGATGTGCAACTCTCATGTTCAAATTACCTGACATTCGTAAGTGCCGTTGTCTCTTCGTTGCACATACTTGATCTGAAGGATCCAGTCATTGGATCCCTCTAAATGTAGGACTTGGAATCTCTCATCGCTAGTGTAGGTGACAAGGCCACTGGTTAGGATGTGCCAATCACGCCGACGCACCCAAGAAATCTGCATCAAACAAAGAAACAAATTAAAAATTGAAAGGAAAGGAACATTATTTAGAAAATTTTTACTTGACTGGGGTATATCAAGTAACGATCCCAGATATCACTGCGCTGGCACTGCGATGGAAAGCAAAATGATCGTGCTCTCTACGTAATATTACATGATGGACAGAGGCGGATCCTGCAATTTGGCAACACCGGATTTTCTCCATTTAAGCCCATGCTAAATAATCGATTCTTGATGGAGCATCTGGCCCCTCCAAGAATCGATACATTTCCATAGGTTTAAATGGAGGAAAGGCATGTTGCCAATTTGCTGGATCCGCCAATGATGATAGAACTGCTCAGAGGCTATGTATTTTGACGTAAAATTCCCATTTCTCCTGAGTAATTATATCCTCTTCACTTGTACATAATATGTTGTTGCAATACAAATAGTTAGGACAGGGGAAACAAATTTGAACAGTTTGTGTACACAGTGACGAGGCATGAATGATCGACTATCAATATATTCCCATTTGATTCTATGGTGAAAAATCGATTATTAATCGATTGCATGTTCAATGTGAACATCCTGTTTGTCGACTCTTTTCCATGGTTTTAAAGGCAGATCAATCGATATATCGCAAAGCATGCCACGCCACTTCTTGAGCGTAGGTAATCAGAAATCAAACCCAGATTCAGATTCAGATTCATTTTCATACCTACAGAGAAGAGTGGGAAAGACTCTCACATGTCGAGTGAGTGGTAAAATATGACAAAATATGAGCCGCATTTCTCGAACGGCCCATATGTTAATAGGATGTCAGAGGAAAGGCTGCCGAAGAAGATGCTTGATTGGATGAGACGAAGGTAACGTCCAGTATAAGAATGGCGACAGGGGGATTTACAAGGGGATTCAGGGAGTGCAATCGCCCTCAAGAGCTATGGAGAGATAGGGAGCTGCCGTGGCTAGGTGTCGCAGAGCGCCAGAGAGCGCTGTCAAACCGCGGCTCTTATGTGTGTATCTCCAAAGGCATTCTTCTGTAAATCGAATTGATGACGTGCAATAGCCGGTCAGGAGCGCATGTGCCCTGACCTGTTCAGTAAAGGGAAATATGCCCATTTATTATTAATTACTACCCATGAACTTTTGCGGCAGTCAGGAAACACTTCGCATCTTTCTCCCCATTCCCCAACAAAAGATTTTGTTGCGTTTTACAACATTTTATTTCATATGTATTGTTTCCCCATATTATATTCGTTTATGCTAACCCTGAGGAGAGAAGAGCCTTATAATCCTCAGATGAAATTAGAAGCCAAATCAAGACGTGGTATCAAAACAGAACGTATATACGAAAATACGAATGAAAGAGGTAGATTCTCACAGGTCAACAAGTTCAAATTTCAGATTTTGGTCCGCTATCAGCTGAAAAATACGTCTCGGTATTTTGAATCCAAGACTTCGATGGAAAATATCAGGATGATAATGCAGGAATGGGTTCAAGTATCTCTCATACTTAAGCTCAAACTTAAAAATTTGACGGATGTGAACTAAGTTAAATTTCTGGGTGCGTCAAGGGCACTTCTCGGTTTGCTCTGCTAATAGTTGCCAATTTTCCGTCTAGTAGAGGGAAAGTAAATGCATGTACTTTTTAAAACTCTCTCCAAACATTCTATACGGCTTTACAATGTTTCTGAGCAAATCATCCATTAAATGCCTCTCTAAAATATAAATTATCAATGGAGACTCTGAATCATCGCAACCGAGTCATTCCCTCAACCAGTGCTTCAATTATCTAAGATAATGAGAATGCATTTTTACTATATTATGTTTACATTTGTTATTTTTTTCACTTTTAAATCATCTAAATTTTTCCCCCGTTTAATCTCTGTTTACTGTGTTAAAACGTATACACCAGGACGAAAATCAAACCTCAACAACTAGCCAAACATTTCCTTATATGCAGAGATTCATACCTCCAGGTGCATAAAATTGCTCCTAAAATTTACATAATACTAAAAAAATGTATGTAGACTAGTGGAATTTTTCAGGAAGAAACTCACCGTTCGCTCGCCTAAGTTTCTAACACTACAATTGAGGAAGGCGGTAGCACCAAGTTGGACGGTTCGATCGGTAACTGTGTTGTTGATAAAAATTGGCTCGTTGAACTGCTGGTAGTCATCTCCACTGGAATACCACAACTGCTGCCAACCGAACAGGTCTCGTCCCCTCGTTTCTCGCTTTCCTGGAAGACGCATTGGGAATACAGTGTAAATCAACAGTAAATTGCCACAACTGAAGCAACTTTATAGATTGAGATTAAAGGATGGAGGCATGCCAGAAAAAGAACGAAGACTCATTCAAACTCTTATCTTTGAATGTATGACCGTAAATACTTAATGTTGACTCGTTGCGTAGGATACCTCACGGCAAGGGACGAAATAATTCAGAAAACGTATAACAAAGACCTCCTGAAGTTTAATTCATAATCAGTTTTTAAAGTGATATTTTCCGTAGAGACTCCAATTCGAGGACCAAGGAACAATATCACCTAAACTGACAATTTTGGCAAAAACGAGTCAGCAACTTTGCCGCATTCTGCGGTATAAAATACGTAAGCTGATTTTTTTTTTCAACTCAGTTGAGGAGCGCTGTAATGATGCTGTGATGTATGAAAACATTGCAAATCTAACCTCAAAATTACAAAAATAGCTAAGTTTTCTTTTCGTCCTGCAAAATTGCCATTGTGATTAAAGGAAAATATCAGAGAACCTCTTGTACTTAAAGCACCAAGAAAAGGTTGAGCTGACGGATTTCGAATGAACTTTAAGCCAGTCCGGATTTTCCGCCTTAAATACTACAAAATTTTTTCGATCTTTCCCTTAAAAATTAAGAATACATTAACACAAATATTAATGACCAAACGGTGAAAATCTAGACAGAGGAAAAGCAAACGTTTCTGATTAATTGTAAGTATAAATGTCTACTATAGAAAGAAATCTCGAAATCATTCCACTTTGAGGTTCTAAAAAGTCATAAAGTCAATGGAATCATAGAGACCAAACTCTGTTGGCCCTTCCACCGTGCTTAAATATAGCTAGGGCAAGTCTCGACTGCACTTAAGTCCGGCTTAGCGCTTCTGATTGGCTGGTGGTGCGATTGGACTCATCGATGGATGTTGCATCTCTGTCCGAAAGAGCCGAAAAAATTCATCCCCAGGGGTGAATTAGAGATTAGTCGCAGTAACGAAGCAACTGCATTATATGAACAAAAGGTCAAGCCTAGTTGTTATACTCCTGGAATTTTTAGTACCAATCAGACAGAATTGGAATTTGATTACCCCAAACAAGCCTTAATACGACTTAATTTAGGCCAAACTCGTCCCCTAAACAGATTGGCCCTCCTTAAATGGACCCAATCAATTGAACCGCGTTTATAGCAGAAAGGAACCAAACCACATCCATTGGCGGATCCAGCAACTTGGCAACATCGGATTTCGTCCATTTAAACCTATAGAAATGTATCGATTCTTGGAGGGCCAGGTGCTCCGACAAGAATCGATTACTTAACACAGGTTTAAATGGACGAAATCCGGTGTTGCAAAATTGCTGGATCCGGCTCTGACCACATAAGCTATTGCCAAAAACTGGACCATTGGATTTTTTACATGAGAACGTTTGTGCGGATTCCTTTAAAAATGTTATGGAATTTGCCTCGTGCTATGTGGAAAAATTCACCGAGATTTGCACAAAAATCCGCACAACCGTTTTCATGTGAAAAATTGAATTGCCCAATTAAATTGGGTAATGAGTGATGCTGCTGGGTTCCTTGCTGCTCAACGCGGTCACATTTAGATTTGTCTCCTATGCTTAGTACCATCCGAGTATATTAACCGTGACATATAGATTTTTACGGCGATTCGATAGACGCCATATTTTGTGTCAGAACGGCATGCGATATATCGCATCAATTGGTTCCAGTTTTTCAGCTTCTCGTCATTTTTCTCCAATTTTGAGATCGCAATTCTGTTGTCAGGAGACTAAAGCACTCACTTACCAATTTTAACAAAGAAATTCAACGTAATAAAGGCGTGGTTTTTTTAGAGAGAAAATATCGCATTCGAGTGCAGTTCCGATATCAGTATCGAATGCGATGTCTTCTCTCTAAAAAAAACCACGCCTTTATTACGTTGAATTTCTTTGTTAAAATTGATAAATGAGTGCTTTAGTCTCCCGACAACAGAATTGCGATCTCAAAATTGGGGAATTATGACGAGTAGCTGAAAAAATGAAACCAATTGATGCGATATATCGCATGACGTTCCGACACGAAATATGGCGTCCATCGAATCACCTATAATATCTGAAAATTTCACGGAAAAATATTCATAAACTCTACTGAAACTTTCATGGTATATCCGGGGAAATTTGGCAACTATCGAGAGTTAAAGTTACGGTGTTTTCCCTTAAGTTGAATAAGTCCCTTAATAAGTTGAAAATTTTTCGTTCCGACCAGCGGACTGATTATTGAAATTGACAGACAAAGCTATAGACAAAGAACAGTTTCGATATCAGTATCGAATTGGATGTTTTCTCTCTAAAAAAAACCACGCCTTTATTACGTTGAATTTCTTTGCTAAAATTGGTAAATGAGTGCTTTAGTCTCCTGACAACAGAATTTGCGATCCAAAATTGGAGAAAAATGACGAGTAGCTGAAAAAATGGAACCAATTGATGCGATATATCGCATGCCGTTCTGACACGAAATATGGCGTTCATCGAATCACCGTAACCGTGACATATAGATCTTTAAGGTGATTTGATGGACGCCATATTTTGTGTCAGAACGAAGTACGATATATCGCATCAATTGGTTCCATTTTTTCTGCTTCTCGTCATTTTTCTCCAATTTTGAGATCGCAATTCTGTTGTCAGGAGACTAAAGCACTCATTTACCAATTTTAACAAAGAAATTCAACATAATAAAGGCGTGTTTTTTTAGAGAGAAAACATCCCATTCGATACTGATATCGAAACTGCACTCGAATGCGATATTTTCTCTCTAAAAAAACCATGCCTTTATTATGTTGAATTTCTTAGTTAAAATTGGTAAGTGAGTGCTTCAGTCTCCTGACAACAGAATTGTGATCTCAAAATTGGAGAAAAATGACGAGTAGCTGAAAAAATAGGACCAATTGATGCGAAATATCGAATGCCGTACTAACACAAAATATGGCGTCCATCGAATCACCGTAAAGATCTATACCTATGTCACGGTTAATATACGCGGATGGTACTAAGCATAGGAGACAAAACGAGTAGCTGGAATGCTGGAAAAATGGAACCAATTATTGATGCGATATATCGCATTTCGTTCTGACACAAAATATGACGTCCATCGAATCACCTTAACCGTGAAATATATGACCTTTAAGATCCATGATGATTTATCTGAACGATGAAGCTTCGATTTTTGTCCATGGATCGGAGAAACAACCGGGCGCACCGCTCTCATTATTGTGAAAAGTGGAGCATTTTGACAAATGAAAACAAAACGCGGTAATTAAAGAGGTTTAATTAGTGCACGATGGATAACGGATGCGGCTCAGCAGGACGCTTAAAAACGCAACGTGTGCAACTAATCTCTTTAATTATGAGTATTTGTTCACGCTTTGTGGCTCGCTTTTCGATCAGATGCTCCGTTGGCGCGTTTTAATTTGGCCGGACCGCATCTTTTTGCAAAATCCTCCGACAGAATTTGGTATTAAAGAATCCTACAATCCGTTTTTTCCCTGGTTGCAAAATGAACTTGAGTATCTTTTGATTTTGATTTTGCACTCTATGATGTTGATTAAGACTAAATATTTACAAAAAAAGAAAAAAAAGGAACCTACAATCCGTTTTTTCCCTGATGAAGGCACGAAACCCTACTCAAAGGTTGCAAAATGAACTCGAGTATCTTTTGAATTTGATTTTGCACTCTATGATATTGATTTTGCACTCTATGATATTGATTAGGATTAAATATTTACAAAAAAAGAAAAAAAAAGGAAACAAGATAGTATAAGTACTCCAGGCACAAATATATAATCTTAATCAAACTGACATAATTCATTTATTGTTAAGAATATGACCGTGTAATTTCTGTTCCGGATTTTGTCGATTGTAAGCGGAGGAAAAATTGGTGCAATGTTCAGTTTCAAATTCCCGAAAGTTTCGTGGTAAAAATAATATTTACGAGTAGAATTTTTGCAGCATTGAAATTTAGCTATGTCTTTTTGCCTATGGGGAGCGACGAATCTTTCGATCGAAGCTAACAAGACCTTTACAAATAGAAGTTGTGGGAGGGGTGTAAAAAAAGAGGGGTCGGAAATGAAACTATTATATTGTCGCTTATTGTAAGGGCAGAAACCCATGAAAAAGAGAGAAGAGGAGGTCCTGCATTTAAAAAAAAAAAGAATTCTCACCGTCCATACTCATCTCTCTTTTGTGTTCAGCCCTGCACTGAATAAAATAAGCGAAAAAATACACGGGGTGGATTCAGTCGTATTATTGTCATAAGCCGCCATCGCTAGACCTCAGTATCCCGACCCTGACTTTAAGCGCCTTATTTGTTAATATCCGCTTCAACTGCCGACTTAGCACTAGTACCGACGACACTTTAATAAGGCCCTGAATTTTATTTTTTTTTATTTTATTTTTTTTTTCTGGAAAAAGATGAGCAGACGTAAATCTAGTGAGCCACGATATAAGTTAGGTGACCTAAATCCGTGATTTTGACACGTTAATTTAATCGACATGAAGGACAGTGCAGGAAATGTAAATTTGAGAGTATCATGATATGGACATTATATTTTATTGTACATTACGTCGTTAAAGTCTCACCCCCTACCCTTATTTTATCCAATTTACCCGGAGAAAAGAGGTAAGAGTTTTTGGATGGTACGGGCATTTCCAATTTATTGTGATGGTGTCCAACTAATTGTGGTAATACCTCAATAAATTAGATTAGATATACTGGCCCAAATGTTGCGGCCAGTGTTCGAAACTCACTATTGAGTTTTAGGAGCCATGTGGCGCATCAAGCCCGATTTTTAAGCGCCATTGAAGATTTTTTAGGGGCCAAGTTGACTTTTTGCCTATATATTACGACGTTTTTAGTGAAAAGTTAGACGCAAGATGTTTTCGTAACAGAAATAGTAAGTAGCTGTAACTTGGGAAGACAAAGGCACAAATGATGAAATCGTGAAGAATAGAAAGACCTTTCACTTGTGGTGTTGAAAATTTCGAATAATCACCTTATATGAAAATTCAGATTTTTAGGGGGCAATTTTTAGGGGCCACGTTGGCGCAGAGCCTTCATTTTTTAGGCGCATTTGGCGCTGGCGCCTGTGAGTTTCGAACACTGATTGCGGTCCTACTCCAACCTGAGCTGTGATACTACCACAATTAATTGAAAATGTTCATATCATCCAACAGATTGGGGTAGTACTACAATTTTAGGGGATAACCCCTAACACTTTTTTTCCGTGTGGATACAAAGTGGACTACACTGCCTGAACTTCCACGGTTCCTTGAGACTCAAATGAAGAAATATGGACTAGGAATGGGTTCAGATGGAGTGATTAAAATAGAGAGGAAAAATATTTGTAAGTAATAAAAGTTGAAGTAGCAAACTTTTTCTCGCTCAATTCTATCTGTGGAGCAGAAGAAAGTAGAATTTAGATCGCTAGAGGGAGAGAATGAGAAAAAGTGAGGGAGAGATGGCAGGAATTGGAAGGCTTGTAGAATTAAGTATGTAAAGTTGTCGTGAAAAAGTGGAAAAGAATCGTAAGTTTAATCATGCAGGAGAAAAGTTAAAGTGACGATGAAACTTACCCTTGAAAAATTGAGAAGAGCTGACTATATAGATATGTGATAGGTAAAACATAAAAATTGCATTTAACTGGAGCACCGAATTCTTCCTCCTCATTTTAATCCAGCCAGTTCTGAAACCAAGAATGACGAAGTATTGATAATTTGTCTATGTGTTGCATAAATTCATGTATTGCATTAGTAGTGCAGGATTACTTTAAAAAAAAAGCAACAGACCTTTGCACTCAACAAATTCGTCACCATTACGAATTTTTCGATGTGATAAATTTTTTGATCATACCTCTTTCAAATGCGATGTTGAATCACCCGAAATTTTTAGAAGGACCTGTCTAAAGTCATGAAACTGTTCTTTTGCAATTGTTATTACTTTTTTTTATGTTTCGAACATATTTTTTCTAAATTGAGAAGAATGATTCTCCAAAATTTTTGAGGACATTTAGACCATGAACTTGACCATGACCAAATTTAGAAAATAAACCAGAACATTAGACCATTGCAACAAGACTGCTGCAAGGTGCTGACTGTCAACGAAAAAGGGGGATATTCTTGGATCAGCGGCCATGGAAAGAGCCATGCACAAAAAGGGCAAAAAACGGCCCATTTTTGGGCCCTCGAAATTGGGGTCGAAGTGGGGTTTATTTTCATCCTTAGGGTGACCCTTTACACATACTAAAATTTCAGATTGAGTATACGCACCGTTTTCGAGTTGTGGGGGGGCAAAGTCCCCGATTTTCACCCATTTTTTCAGGTGTTTTAATGTCGAACTCCGGCTGTTACGAGGTACCAGATCTAGATATTGAAGCGCGGTTTGCGGTGATTTGTTCAGCTACTTCTGTGGTATTTTTCCATATCTTTCACAAAGCCCCAAATGGTTTTTTGGGGGACGGGGAGGGGGGCTTTATTCATACTATCATGACCGTTAGCGCATCTTACTGCCTTTACTTTGCTCTCTTCTCTCCACGCCGCGGTCACGATGGTATTTTCTGTTGGGGATTTTTCTTCTTCTTTACATTTTACCAATTTTAATGTCCTCCCCCTCTTTTCCCCTTTTTATCCCCTCCCCCGCAATCCAAACACTTCCTCTCAAGTGTTCTTCCTGTAAGGCAGATATGACGGGGTCATATGTGGGGGATTATTTTTCTTTCTTTACGATTGATAAACTTTGACCCAACTTACTTCTCCCTTACAGGGGTAAGGGCCCCCCTTACCCCTGGATTACCCCCCCCTTGCCCGCTATACTTCACTTGAAGTATTTTGCTCCCTCCGTAGCAGAAATGACGATGTTTCCTGTGAAGAATTGTTTCTTTTTCATATTTTTCACTTTTCTCTTTCAACTTCTATGTTTGATTTATTCTTTCCTAGGTAGATTCTCTTCCACTTTCTCTTCGCGTGACTATATAACTCACACAAAAAAGTAGTAAAAAGTAGAAGAAAAGTGAAAAGTAAAGAGAACGAGGCAAAAGAGGGACGAACAAGAGGGGAGGGGGAAGAGGAAGAAGAGGGAGAATAATGGAGAAGAGTAGGAGGGTAGCTCCCATGTATTCAGTATTTCATTACCTAAAAATAAGTAAAACATTATTTGCCAGAAACATCGTCATTTCTGCTGCGGAGGGAGCAAAATACTTCAAGTAAAGTATAGCGGGCAGGGGGGGGGATAATTCAGGGGTAAGGGGGGCCCTTACCCCTGTAAGGGAGAAGTAAGTTGGGTCAAAGTTTATCAATCGTAAAGAAAGAAAAATAATCCCCCACATATGACCCTGTCATATCTGCCTTACAGGAAGAACACTTGAGAGGAAGTGTTTGGATTGCAGGGGAGGGGATAAAAAGGGGAAAAGAGGGGGAGGACATTAAAATTGGTAAAATGTAAAGAAGAAGAAAAATCCCCAACAGAAAATACCATCGTGACCGCGGCGTGGAGAGAAGAGAGCAAAGTAAAGTCAGTAAGATGCGCTAACGGTCATGATAGTATGAATAAAGCCCCCCTCCCCGTCCCCCAAAAAACCATTTGGGGCTTTGTGAAAGATATGGAAAAATACCACAGAAGTAGCTGAACAAATCACCGCAAACCGCGCTTCAATATCTAGATCTGGTACCTCGTAACAGCCGGAGTTCGACATTAAAACACCTGAAAAAATGGGTGAAAATCGGGGACTTTGCCCCCCCACAACTCGAAAACGGTGCGTATACTCAATCTGAAATTTTAGTATGTGTAAAGGGTCACCCTAAGGATGAAAATAAACCCCACTTCGACCCCAATTTCGAGGGCCCAAAAATGGGCCACTTTGTGCATGGCTCTTTTCTCTTGAATTCAGAAAAAAAGACTCTTATACCACGGAGAAACTCACTTATATGAAGCTGAAAGTTGCATAATTAAAGCAACTTTACTAATGATTCAAGAAGAAATATTTCAGCGGCTTCTTAAAAAATATTTTTTACTTCGGTCTTCTTCCTCTTCTTTTTCTACTAATGACAAAGGCATGACCCTGTTTTTCATACTCTCGAGTACCGAGCACATATGAATGACTAATAATTATACAACCAGCGGGCCGATTATTGAACCTGATGAACAAAGCGGTAGACAAAGAAAGACATAGGGAGTATGGAGCGATCCTATTGGTTGACATGGTTGGTTCTTATAGACTAAGGAAGAAAATGATGGACTAACTGTCGGGTCTTTAGTATGTTGCCGTCAGTTAGTTGATTACCTACCTCCTATGTCCATTGCCACCACCTGCTTCCACCAATAGGATCCCTCCAAATCCCTTTTGTCGTCTTTGTCTATAGCTTTGTCTATAAGTTTCAATAATCGGCCCGCAGTAAGTATAAACTAAAAAGCATTGAATTAAGTAATAAGTACTGATAGGCTACATAATTTCTACTTAGATGAAGACTCCTTCCTGGTGTAAGGTATCTTATCCCTCATTTGATCTACCAATCAAAATTCATGGTGGGCGCGAAGTTTTAATCAAAGAAGGGGCTCGTTGAGTCGAATAAGGGGGGGGGGGGGCNGGGGGGGGGGGGTGCAATACGCAGTTTCCGCCCGACGGCGCATAGAGAGGGGCGCCGAGTGGAATGTTGGTTTCCGGTTCCGGGCGGAAAGCTCATAGCTCACTGCGTACTGCATGCTTCTTCCCCACCCCCAAACCACCCTACATCCCCCAACCCATCTCCTCATCACCCGGCCCTCCTTTGCCCTTTGCTCATTTTTGGACTTGGTACTCGTCAAGGCTCAGTGGCGATTCTCCCAATGAAGCTTCAGCACGACCCCCCCCCCCCCCNNATTTCTTTACAGAAAACTTGATAAGCTGAGTTTGCAGTGTTTTCTTATAATTTTTTTATTATTGGAAGGAGACAAATATATTTAAAAGTAGAAAATTTACCGCCCTGTGGTCTACCGGTCAAATCGGTCGAGGAGCGTAGCCTACTAGTCTGTATCAAATGAGGAGCTTGGAAAACAGGGCATATAAGTGCATTTTTAGAAGAGAAGAAAGAAAGAAAAAAAGTTGAGATATAAACGATTTCAAGTACAAATAGTCTGAATGCATATTTTGTGAGAAATTTGCTTCCAAATTCCAATTTTTAAGCATCAAAAAGTCAGTTTGAACTTTCTAGCTGCCATAAGGATCCATGTATTTCGAAACCTCAAACACGCATCACTCGAAATAGCAAAAACTTCACACATGCGCCTCGTACTCCAAGTCCCTCTAATTATACATCTTCGTCATATTTTGTACTTCTTAAAGCAGAAAACTCCAACTAGTGCAAATCTCTCACGAGAATTTTGGTGTTTGGAGTGAACTTCGGACTATTCTAGTACACCCATCGTGATGTTTGAGCGCATTCGAATTAGTAACAAGTCCTCTTTTCGCTCCGGCAAAAGTTAACAACAGACCCATTAATTCGTTGATCCAATCCTAAACGTACTTTCCCACATTGGATGAGCATTTTCATAAGGATTTGGTAGATGATACATTGTTTAACCATGAGATATCAGAGACTTTTTTTTAGGAAATTTAGACACAAAATTTCTCATCACCAATTTTCTCTCATTTATTTAATCGGCAGTCTTAAAAGTTTGAGTGAAATGAATTCATTCGATAAAATGGACTTAGATATTGAAAAATTTAACGAATAAATATTCAAATCAAACACAAATTACATGAAAACTGAGAATACTCAAACAAAAAGTAGAGAGAAATCCTTTTGCCATCGACAGAGTAAAAGCTCTGGTATAAATAGCTTAACGGGTGCTCCACTTCAAGCTTTTCATAAAGTGCAGAACTTCCTCCCACCCATTCCATTCCCTTGGCTTCAAGTGACTTTATCATTGATCTCTGAATGCGTCTGTGCAATAATTCTAAAATCATCCAACTCCAGTATAAAAATAAAGTATAACAGCAGTAATTTGAACCAACAAAAACGAAACAATAAAACATGTTAAAAAAAGAGGTGATCCCACTTTTTAATATAGGAGGTAGTTCTGACAACGAGTTTAAATACTCCCTTCGACTCATAGATAGAGATTTAAACATAGTTAACCTTATAAGAACGACCTAGCAAGTAGAGACGACCCTAATCACATTATACTTTGCCAACTTACCTCTCGTGATTTTTTTAACAGGGAACTACCCAGCATTGTGACATTAGATTTTGCGAGTATTTTCTCACCAATCCGGAGAAATGTACAGAAAGTTTTACAGATGGATTCGTTTTTCTTTCAGGTTAAAGCGGACCCACTGTTCGCCCTCCAAATATCGTCCCCCTCTTTAGCCATAACACAAGCGCCTTTTACGTTTAGACGCTATGATGCGGTCATCTCAATATTGTTTTAATCCTTATTTAAAGAAATTTTGCACATACCTTCATGCAAATCTCAGGCATCAATTTTAAGGACAAAAGATATATTACTTTTCATATGAATCTGTTTATATATGTAAGTTCTTCGAACAAGTCGAAGAGTTTAGCAACTTCGTGCCCAAGCACAAATGGACTGAGTTAAGCAAAAAGGAACCAACCCACTCTTTGGAAAAAATTGAGTTATGAGTGGTTTTGAACTCAACCACTACTCTACTATCTATCGCCAAAAATTCAAAGTTTTTATCGGTGCAAATTTTGCAGAAAGTGAACTTGAAGTTTATCTTTTACATTATTGAGTCTTATGCAGGAGCCAAACTTTAAACCTCTTTTTCTCGGTTCGATCCCGATGTGGCTTGGTTCCTTTCTGTTTAACTCCGTCCAAATGGCGTTTGCGATGCTTTGGCCGGAAGGAGATTATAAATAAATGTAAATAAAAGATAAAGAAGAAGGAAATGAAAAAAAAAATGTTTACCTTGATCAGCATATGAACCAAGAGGAATGGGACCGCATTTTGGAATCTGGAAAGAACTGATGCTGGTGGGTGGGTCTGGTTTCTCCTTTGCTGCTGCCCTCATCTTTTCTCGTCAGGCCATACTTATCCTGCAAAATAACCACAAAAATCGAAATAATTAATAATCCATGCATAGTAAAAACTAGTAATGAGCGTAGACAATTTACGATCGCCGGAATTTGCCAATTCTTCATTGATGCATACATATTTACGTTTAATTCAAAAATAAAAGAAATATTAAATGGATTACATTTCGCAATGAGGAACCACTATATCTGGCCCATTTCAGAAACAACATACATGCCATTGGTTTCCCACGCAGATTTGTGCTTTTGTGGGAGAGTCAGAGATAGTGGTTCCTTATTGCAAAATGGAATCCAAATCAAAATGCTGATTATTTTGCCTGAATGGAAAGCAACGCCTCTTCTCCTTAAGTGCGTTGAAGCTTCTGGTATCTTTGCTTGTGCGTGTATTGAAATTAGTTCTCAGTTTAGTTCGGATCGGATAAGCCACTAAACTAATTGTCTGGCAAAGGTTTTGAGTATCAAAAGAAAGGGAAGGCGCTCCAAACCGGCTTCGTGTTTTTCATACCCTTTACCGATGAAACCCCCATTGTTCTTGCATGAATTATTGGTGCCATTTGTCTAGACAACGTGCAAGACGTGTGTTAATCGCCGGCGATTGCTGACTGCCTGCAACATGTCCATAATATGATGGACCATTGGTGAGGATAAAAATCGAAGCACCAGTATTTCCTCATCAAAAGAATATGCAAAATATTTTGAATTTGTCAAAAATTTGTAAACCAACTCGTAAATTAGACTTCGAAATTTATTGTGAACATAATTCACATTCATAAAATCGAAATTCCTACTCGTTTACCCCTTGGATGCCCGAGGCGGGGTGAATGGGTCACTAAACCATGAACGAATTTTGACTTGCGAATATAGTTTTCTGAAGGAAAATGACACGTAGAACACGATGCGCACATTGAAAACGCGAACAAGTAACTCAATAACCGAGAAATGCGCAGTTCAAATCGCTCAACTTATACGCAAATTTAAAACGCCCCGGTTTCGCTCCGCGCCGAATGATGTCATCCGGCACCAATCAGAAGCGGGCACGGGTTTCCACGACTTCCGTCAAATGTCTATCTACATTTCGTATATGAAAACAATACTAAAGTCGAAATTATATCTTTTGAATTCACGACTTGAATATCATTCATATGTTAGCTGTAATAAACGAGCAACAATTCCACATTGAAACACGTTTTATTTTAACAAACATCAGAGGAAAATGAAAGAAGATTGCGATATGACTGTCGCAGTGTGTCAACACCGTCAGTTTCCCGCCATTCGGGTGCGTTTGAAATGTCTTGCAGTTTTTAGATTTTTCAGAAGCTGGTTTCTCCGCGATTTCGGCTCCATAAAAATACGGAAAAATCACCACGTTATCTACTCACATTGTACTTTCAGAATATTCAATAAAATAAACAAGGTTTAGTGACCCATTGACCAAAGGCTTTCAAGGAACACGTGCACGTGCCTCGCGGGTTGTATATGGGGCCGGTACGTGTGAGCTTCAGTATAAGTCTACAAACACACCCTTAAAAAAATAATCATACGTCAGATTGAAAATAAGTAAAAATCGAATGTCAACACAGCCAAAGATCGAAGAGACGTCTTTGAACTTCCAATTTTAACATTTCTCCCGAAAGTTACATCTCACTAGCAGAATAGAGCGGAACATTGAGAGTAGACGCCTCGTCTCATCGCGCCTTCAATTTTGCAAATGCAACACGGACATCCGTCAAGCACTAATAGTTATGTCTTTCCGCCGTCATCAACATGCATCGTTTCTCTCTATTTCCATATTATGTAAGTTTTCGTTTGTCTTATTTGTAGTAGGGGTGCTTCAAGGGGCTACTTTAGTAACACAGCCAAAGATAGAAGAGAAGTTAAAGCCTCGTTTTGTAACTTTCCTCCCGAATCTGAAGTACACCTCATTAGCAGCATTGGGCGGAGCATCGTGAGTTCACGGCTCGCGACATCGCGCCTTCAATTTTGCAAATGCAACATGGACATCCATCAAGCACGAATAGTCGTATCACTGCGCCGTCATCAACGCGCGTCTTTTTCTTTACTTAATGTATGTGTGTATGTGCGTTCTCAACGTATTTTTAAGTCACTTTTTAATTATTTTGGTAACATTTGTGAACATTTTTATAGACATATTTTGAAAATATACGTGCAGGTAATTATTAAATATGTATTTTACACTTTAAATGGGTTTTCAAAAATAGTTCTCATTCGTCTTATTATTTTTGAAACCAAACACGAGTAACATTTTTTTAAACAAGAGGTTTGCCAGAGCTAAGAATGACGAAGCTGTTTCTTAAAATGTTTTAAAAGAATATTTTATCAACTTCTAAAAATAGTGTTTTTAAAGATTAAGATGAAACGTTTTTAAAATGAACATTTTTTTTTCCGATGCGCTACTCTGTAGGGCTAATGGTGCTAAGGAAACACGTCGTGCAAGCATGTTGCCAAATTTCCTCTCAGAAAATACTTAGTTTTTAAAAAAGTTATACATATTTTTTCTTGAAATTTTCAGATATCTTAGTTTGATTTTCGAACAATATTGTCTGATATCCTCTCTATTCTAATAAAATTATTTTTAAGACGCTCGATGAACGGGGTGAGGAGGGGGAGCGAGACGGTCGATGGGCAGGAGTGATAAGGGGAGTTCAAAGGTCAGAGTTTTAATAGAGTGGGTATTTTCTTTCAGCGCCCTTTGTTTAGTCATGAACAGCTAAATGTGGCCCTGTCAAGGTCGACTTCCAAAAAAAGGAATAAAAATTCAGAGTAGGAAGAAAGTCATTAAAAATAAAAGAACAACTTAATTCGGGGAAAAGGCTGCAAAAAAAGAACAATAGGTAACAGCGTAGCGACGGCTCGTTTTTATTTTTAATTTATATTTCCAAAATTGTAACGATTTTGAAACGTTATGAAATTGTAATTATTTTGAAACGTTCCGTGTTTTGTTTATCCTTTGTTCTTTTTTTGCAGCCTTTTCCCCAAATTAAGTTGTTCTTTTATTATAATGTATGTATTTTGGCCGATTAAGTTGTTTTTCAGTCATTAAAAATAGTGTATGGCGAGAAATTTTTCATCGAAACATCGTTTTGTTATTCAATTGAAATTATTTGCTCATTAGCCGCCAACGGGCGATTTCGACGATTTCGCTGGTCACAAAGCGGCCTTTGGGGGGCGCACAACGCCCCGAGGGTTGGGCCGCGTAGCGGCCAGGGGGCAGAATCCCCTAGTTACAGATTAATTCGGGAACAATATTGTCTGATATATTTTAAGAGAAATATTCAATAGTATCTCAGCGGATTTGTTCTTTACTGAAGGAGATATAGCATCGCCTGAAGTCTCATACAGCGTTCATTGGCGGATTCAGCAAATTGGTAAAATTGCCTTTTCTCCATTTAAACCTACGGAAATGTATCGATTCTTGGAGGAGCCAGGTGCTTCGACACGAATCGATTATTTAACATAGGTTTAAATGGAGGGAATCCGGTGGTGCCAAATTGCTGGATCCGCCTCTGACAGCGTTCTTCCTTAGAATCATGGCAGTACGAAAGTAGGGATGTGAGACTCTCCGAGTATCCAGACGGCCTTGTTCTACGGCCCGGTAGCGGAATACCAAATCAAACGGTCTCTTTTTATTTTTTTGCCGTGCCACGGTTCCAGACTTTTCCCGGCGCTGTCGGCACTCGTGCATGCGATCGCGGGCGTAGGAGTTCTCACGTCTTTATTTTTGCACCTCCCACAGCTTTTTTTGTGCAAGTGCCCTCTCGACTTAAGAGCGTATTCAGACCAACGTTCTCAAAATTGGAGTGATCCTGCAAGTCGTGGCTTGTAATCGATTCAACTCTCGGCAAGTCCTCGTGGCACAAAATTTCCCCACAAATTCGCAGAGCTATGCATGGATTTGCCAGACCCAAGAGGTAGTTAGTTAGTTAGTATATTTTAAGACATTCAGCGTCACATGCTATTAACGTCTTCACAGAGAATTTTGAAAACGGGAGTACATACGAAAATTTAGATTTTTAAATTAAGAGAGGTGAAGAGTTTCAGAATTTTGGTAGTAATATTGGGTTCATCGCATGTACCTAAGTGGGTTTGTATTTCTGTTGATTGTAGGGGGGTGGATCTGTGATTGGAGATATCTAAGGGCAGAGCAGTCCATAAGTACGTATTTGTCAACAGAAAAATTATTTCTATATTGGCGACATTTTTAAATTAAGCTGCGATTTTTTTACGATTATATCGCTAGGAGCATCAATATCTGATCGATTATCCTCAATCTTATCGCAATTTCAACTCTATCAAATCGCGAGCTATAAAATCGAAATTTTATCTGAATGTATCACAATTTTTTGTTTGATAATAATGCGATAAAAAATAGCTATCGATAAAAGCCATACATTCTCCGATCAAATCATAACTTATCGCGATCACTGCTAAAATTGTGAATGCGCATTGGAAAAAGGAAGTTAAGGATAAAGAAATGAATGGAGTGGATTTGAACAAAATCAGCATGCAGCCGGGAGCTGATTTTGGAATTGTAGGAGTATACAAACAAAGCGACAGGCAAAGAGGAGAAAGGGGAAATGGAGCGATCCTATTGGTCGAAACGAGCGGCTCATATGGACAAAGAGGAAAATAATTAATTAACTATAAGGTCTCTCGTGGATTGCCCTTAGTTGTTTATTACCTTCCTTCTCAGTCTATTGTAACCACCCGCCTCCACCAATATGATTGCTCCATTTGTCCTTTTTCCTCTTTGTTTTGTGTACCGTGATTTGGTCATCTTTGGTCACTTTTCAGGTCGAATAATGGCCTACACAAAGGGCTTGAAGGTCAATTTTCGCAAAAATCATAGCTATATGGAATTCGGTCGCAAACCCACGAAACCCGCATTTCTCGCCAAAATCAGCCCTCAGACCCAAGATTAGGTCATTATCAGACCCGGAAAGAGACCGAAAAAGGCCAAATTATGACGCATCCTGTAGATCTTCAAAGAACGAAAACTCGCAGAAAAGAGGAAATTCAGAGAGAAGATTCAGGGCGGGCCCGAAAATGGCCCTTATCGATACCCTCCTTTATGAAACTTTATCCCTGCACTTTTTATACTAGCTAGAGAAAATGCAATGGTGCAATGGTGGTTTAGGATTATGGGTTGGACTATAAATAATTGATTAATAAATTGGTAACTAATGGAGGTATGTCTTGTTTTGTTTGTGGGCTTGTGTACATCAGGAAAGGGATACAGAAATAGGGAAATAATAGTAGGATATTATCTGGTTCAAGCAATTTTGTCTTTAGTTATACTTACATCTGGACTGCATTTTGCAATTTGGACTTATAAATGCTGGCTCACTCGAAAAAACACTTATGTGCATAAGGGAACTAATGGCACATACGTTGTTTTTAAATCGGGCCGGAATTTATAGTTCCTAATTGCAAAATGTAGTCCATTTATTCTATTTTACATATTCAACTTAGGCTATTTATGTAGGTTTATCTGAATTTTAGGATTCACTTCACAGAAAAAAATTCACAAGTTTTCCAGAAAATTTAGATTCCGCCGGGAAAAATTAATGGTTCAATCTGCGTTTCTGTCTTAATGGGGCTTTTAGGTTTATGGGACGAAGTGTTTTTTCTCGATGTTGTTGGATTAAGAGTCGGATAGAACTTTTCAAGAATTTCGATCGTTTGGATCTCGCGAAAAGTATCGTTGCAACGGACAAGTTAATAGAATTCCAATGCTCCGGGGCGTAGCCGGGGGAGAAAGAAAAGGAGTCTGAGCCCTTCACCTCCCTATAACCTGAAATTTCAATGCAAAAATGCCATTCTCTGCGATTCTCTGGAGCTTGTCAGTTCTTGTCCTCGCCCCCTCCCCCAATCCCAACCCCCGAGAAAATTCTTGCTTCAGCTCTGCTCACGACAGGTGCGGTGCCGACACACTTGGATTTCTTCTCCTTCTTCTTCCTCTTCTTGCATTTATTTTCCTTTTATATTTTATTTTTTCATACTTCGCTTGTACATTTCTGTTGTATGATTTGTCCTCTGAATCTATTTGAAAGTGAAAAATCTCGGATATTAAGTGACCAAGTGTTCTGAGTTATGATTTTCTCTCGCGAATTTTGCACACCGAAAAAGAGAGATATGGGTTCTCGGATGATATGAGCATTTCAAAATAATTGTGGTAGTGCCCCAATCAATTTCGGTGGTACCCCAATTAATTGTGGTAGTATCCCAACCATTTTTGGTAGTACCCCAATCAATCGTGATAGTTCCCCAATAAATTAGTTACTGTAACCAGCATGTTGCGGCACTATCACAACTAATTGGAAATGCCCATATCATCCGACAAACTGGCGTATATAGTGCCAAAATTTTAGGGGATAACCCTCAACACTTTGATTTCCGTGCAAAGCCCGATAATTTGAAGTATTTCTCCCCTATGAGATCAATGCGGAACAAATCAAACGTGAACAGTCTTTTCTTGAATAGCATTTCGCTAGATTTGCGTGATTTTATGGGGGTAAGACAACTGCTGTTTTAATTAAATGAGAAAATATGAGAGAAATAGGATTCAGTAGTTAATTGATGCAGAAAAAGAGAAAGAAATTCAACTCGACGGTGTACACAAAACACAAAAGAGGGTGGGAACCTTTGAAATGAGAGTCATTAGTTACAACAATATCTTAAATTACCTCATTTGCGACTGGCATTAAAAAAAGCACTAAATTTGGAGCCACAACTCCTTTGCAGTTTTAATAAGACTGAATGAGCGCAAGCGTACAGCAACGAAACTTCATTTTTATTCACTATAGTGATTTGTTAATGAAAAAAATGTTACAGATTACATGCTTCCTTGTTCTAGGGTGAAAAATTGTTCACACTAATCATTCGATCATTTCCCCGTATTTTAATGTTAGCATTTTAGAAAACTATGAAATGGTTACCATACGAATGATATCTTTTATTTAAAAAACTCCCTCCCAGGTCACAGAAAATCATGACCCAGACGCAATAGGGATTTGATTGGAAAACTAAATGTTTAAATAATAATCTAAATGAAAATTCCATGCTAAAAAAAGAGGAGAAAAAGTCTCTAGAACTGGCGATGCGACGTACCTTGGACGAAAGTTCAATCTTGGTTAAGCCCAGGATATCCAGGTTGTAACAGGGATTAAGGAGGTACCATGAAGCGCACTAAATACAAGTTTGAGAGGCGAGGGCATAAACGAGGCGATTCTTATACAAGAAACTAGAAGTAACGCCTTTGATGATTTCGAATCGTCTATTCATAGACAACAATGGAACAAAGTAACGCGAACGAAACAAAGGGCCCCCGTGATATTTTTATCTCGGTGGGAAAAATGTCGAGGGGAGGAAAAAACACTTGATAACAGCTTGCTCGACGGAACTGACCAGGGACTCGTAAAAAAACTTGCCCGACCGCGAAAACGGGGGACGTTGGCTCGCAAAGAAATCAAGACGCACACACACGGAGGCAGACGGCCTTAACTCGGGTATAATTAAGCGTAAGGGCGAAACGAACTTTCGTGGAATATTTGTCAGTAGGCGGAGGTCAAGTTAAATGGAGTATTTGGAGTACTCGGCACAGAAAACAGGCGCATCACACCCTTTTCGTGACGGCAGTCGGGGTTCGCGGCAACCTCGCCAGGGCGCGCTGCGTGCGGTGCCTGTAACAGCGGGGTTGTTCACTTGCCCCTTTATTGATCAGCGCCGACCGTTTAAACGGAAAACATGCAGGCCGCTGAAATTATTGCACTTCTGCGGAATGTCGACGCGGGTTGCATTCCTTCGCCCGGAAGGGGCGGGGGCCAGGGGTAGTTAACATTTTTACGCTGACAGGAGCACATGGAAATTAGAGCGTCACAAGGAAATAAGCTCAAGTGCATTTGGTGGAAAACGTCAAGCATACGATTATACGATTGAGCGCCAGCATGGTGCAAGAGAGAGAGGGAGTGAGAAAGAGAAATGCTCTTATTGATGAGTGTTTAATCAATTTCTCATTATTGTCGTAAAAATACCCCGCATGCATGGATGAGAGGACGCCAGACTTACTCCGCCCACTTTTGGTATTTTTAATATTATTGCGAGATAATTTGATCGAAACTTTCAGAGGGCGAATAACCTACATCAACATCAGACGGCATTGCCCAATCTCCACACCCTTTTTCTCTGAGAGGGAGACCGATAAGCATTGCGCATTGAAGTTTTCTATAATTATTATGAGTACTTTTTTGGAGGTGCGCCTTCAATTTGAAGAGTAGGCTACAGGACTGCAAAACATCGTCATGCATGAATAACAATAGCACGGTGGACCTAAGAATGGGTGAAGAAAGTTGATTGATTGATTGGCCGCTTGAAACAGTAAATTAAAAAAGTTTGGTTTCTAAAGAATAATTGGAAAAAATTGAAATTTAGGGCTCATTTTTTTTTTAAATTTAAGGCTCAAATCTGTTGAGTTTTAGATAGCAATTTTGTGAATCCCAAAAAAAACTAGAAACACTGTCCTTTTAAAAATAAAATTGTTCGTTAAATCATCTGGAAAGACAACAAGCTAGGTGTTTTAAACATTAGTTAATTTATTTTTTTAATTTAAAATATCTATGGAGATGAAGAAAAAAGTTGCCATGGAAAGACCAATTACATAATTAATGACTGAATCAAAATGGAAAATGCACTTAAATTAGATCGAAACAATTAAAAGCCAAAACAGTCAAAATCGGAATAGAACTATTTCCCTGTGCCGACCGGAGGGCATCGACAAATCCTATGAGATTGGACTGGGTTTAGGGGCGTAGCCCTCGACATAATAAAGTATGTACCCCAATAGCACTGCATTTTGTCCTGTTGCCAAGTATGTAGGGCAGGAGCCCATGAAAGTACGGAGATGGCATTTAACTCTGAAGAGTATTCCTAACAGATGAACAAACGCGCGTAAGTTCGCCTTCAATATTGTATACATACAATCCCTCGACGGCCGTGCTCGAACAGTTATCGCTCAGAATTCGATAGCTCGTTGAAGGTGCTCGGTACCTCTTAACCAGCACACAGTAGTGTGCAAATTTTGAACGTCAAACGTTTAGACATGGCGATTGTTGGGTTGCAATTTTGTCGCTTAGAAGGCGATTTTGGCACGTTCTTAGGGGAAAATAATATCAAATTATCAAAGATAGAACTTCGGAGTTAACGAGGCTCTAATCAAGAAAAAACTCTGCCTCCGTCACCTCACCAGTGGATGGATCGTTCGAACACAATCGCTCGATTATCGAATGATTTTCATCGACACAGCCGAAACTCTGGATATAATCTATCGATTCATGAGTATCGATCGATGTTCGAGAATCGGCCTACTGCGATGGTGAGCTGCCACTAATGAATACCTACTTAAAAACTTGGTACTTCATTACCTGCTGAGGGGCCCTCTCTCTTCATAACATTCAAGTGAAACGGGGTGCTGACGAAGGGAAAGGGGGAATGGATGTAAGCCGTTCGTGGCATGCGTATGGGCTTAATTGGTGTCAAATGCCATGCCGGGAACTATCGTAACATAAGTCTGCGTCACGAGCATTGTCCACTACCCCTCCTTTCGTCCCAATGTTTGCTTCTAACGAATGGAGTGAATTCATCGTGGCAATCTAACCCCACCCACGCTACCACCGTATAATTTCTAATGCAGTTTTGAGCTACGGCGCTTGATTATCTGAGAGTCGCCAGAGTTCAAAGTGTGATCGTCTACGTTGTAAAAAATAATAATAATTTTTCCCCCATATTGAAGAAAATTTGAGTCAATCCTCTTGTAGATTGAGTCAACGAAAACTTCAACATAGAGGCAATACATAAACGGATTCAGCCCCCCCCCCTCCTTCTTGTAGGGTTTAAAAAAAGGAGGAAGAAAACTGAGGGAAAGGAAACAGGAAGGAACATAGGGGAAAAAAAGGTTTGACGTTTATATTTGGTTATTCGTGACGAAATTACTCAAACTGCATTTTCGATGCTTCAAAAATTCAAAACTTGAAGGAGCCTCCCCCCCCCACCCCCGGTCGCTATCCTCCCTTCGAGGTGTCTGGATCTGCCTGAGAAGCAATTAAAGTGATTTAGAGTTAATTACAGCAGTTACCAGTCAATTAGAGTCAATTAGTCAAATTTGAGACTCAAAAATGGTTAAGGGTAAAATCTCGCCTTCAATATGGGAACAGAATTTTATGATTTCTCAATGTGAGTTGGAAAAGAAGTCATGTTATGAGTCAAAATCTCCAAACAAGATTTTTGACTAAACTTGGCAAAAATAGCTCCTCCGAAAATTTCGTCTCTGTGGAGTGCCGTGGACAACGAAGTCCCTCATTGGTAATACTTCCAAATGGAAATTTCCGGGAGCGCGAACCCCTAAAGTGCAAATGAAGTTTTACGCTTTAAGCATTTTCCGGAAAATTAAGAATTCTACGATGAGCAGTTAGTGATGTTTTACCTACTTCATCGACGCAATGGGTGGCGCTGAAATTAAATTGAGGTGTGAGAGTAACACGCTGAGCACCTTCAGTTATTAGTATCGCATGCAGCGAGCACTAGGCGAATTCCATCGTAACGCCTGGATACAACTATTCGAGCTTTATGGATGTCCGTATTGCATACGCAAAAAATTGAAGGCGTTCCGATTCTCCAGGCACTCGCGCATTATTTCACCAGTCGCGGGGTACGGCAGCAGGTTGCATTGCGAGGATCCAAATAGCGAAGCTCCTTCAGTTGAGGGGCTCGGAGGACAAATGGGGTAAATGTAGTTTTTGCTATTTCAAGAGACACGTGAGTAAATTTTAAAAATGACATAAAACCTGGGCCGAAAGAATAAGTTCAAACTCATTTTCTGATGATTGAAAATTGGATTTTAGTATTGAATTTTTCCATGGATATATGTTTTAAGGCTAGTTGTAGTAGAAATCATTAATAATGTAGTAGATCCGGGGTGAAAAGGATGTAGTTCCCGACGTCCGAGTCGCTTTGTTAGGAGGGCGTGGTGTTGCTCTAGTACAATAAATGCAACTCAAGAAAATGACGGGAATCACTCTATTTCCGCATAATAATGAAACAGCATAAACTAATCGCAACATAAACTGAACTGCATTTTGCAATTTGGAACTATAAATTCTCGCTCATTTGAAAAAACACTTATGTGCGAAGGGAAACTAACGGCAAATACGTTGTTTTTAAATCGGACCAGAATTTAAAGTTCCAAATTGCAAAATGCAGTCCAACTGTCAATGCTCCAAAATTTGGCTTTTTGGGACCTCTCCGAGGTCGTCAGGGCGTCGGACCTCGGCGATCTGGATCACCGTAAAACACGTAGCAAACTGTAACATGGATTTTGCTCCGTCATCAAAAAAAAAATAAATAAAATAAACTGAAATTTTGGAAATCCAGAGTAAGGCCGGGGTTGTATTGATATCGTCCCCAGGGCGGGATCGATTTCGGTCCATAATGACAACCTCCTTTGTCATGTGAAAGAGGGGCATGTCCAAAACTCTATAAACCATGCATGCTCCAGCCAGCATGAACAACAGATACCAACGCTCTCTTTATTTATTTATTTCACCTATGCGGCCATTCAAGTATTACGTAAGCTACCTAAGGGGATGGGAAGAGGTCTTGACTTGCCTTACAATGTCTTGGGGGTCGATCCTCGTCTTACGCAAACCTTCCTCTTTAAGATTAATATTTTAGTCTAAAGTTGGCTGCAGATGCTTAGACACAAAGCCATTAAACAGCAGAAAAAAAAAAAATATTAATATTTTCCCATGAAAAGAAATTTTCAGCCATTTTTAGGCTTTCTTCGTTATTTCTTGGAAAATTCGGAGGGGTGGGGAAGGCTCGGGTTTGTCTAACGTAATTCAAAAGCTGTCTTATCCGGGGGCAGGTGGTAAAAAATCGGCCAAAATGTGTTACGTACTACTTTCAGGGCCTCCGTTGACTCCGACAGATGTGATGTGCCTCTCTCATCGAACAACGAACATTAATTTGCGTCTATCAAGGTTAATGAATGATGAGATGAGTAAATAATCATCTACTGAACTTGTACATTATCGAACTATCATTTTTCAGCGCAAGTTACTATTCATACAATTTTTGGCTCGCAGTATATATCCCCCCTTCCACTACCCCCCCTTCCACTACCCCCCTCCCTTCCTCACACCTCACTGTTCCAAATTTTTTTCATACTTCGCAGACCGAACTGCTGAAAAATCTATGTCGTTTGATGCGAGTAGTTTTGGCGGATCAACCCCACACTAGGCAGCATCAATATGAAATTAATTTCCATCTTCGGTCCCTAAAATATACAGTCCTGAGACTTTTACACGCGTACAAACATTCACTCTAAATGCAAATTGTGTCTACGCTGGCAGCAGGAATGTGCATATTTCGCCGGCCGGCCGCTGAAAAATTTAACATTTTCAAAAGAGGAAGAAGAATAATGCAAGAATGGTCCTTCCATTATCCTCTGCATCCATAATATCCATTTGTTCCATCATAATGTTTCATTATTGTGTTTGGCGAATGTTAATGTCTGCCTGTTAAGCTAGGATATACGTTCGGAATCGGAATATAAAAGAGTAGAGACCTTCAGTTGTTAAAGTTTGTAAAATTTAAATGTCGAAATGAATGAGCAATTCCTTTACCATGACGGTCCAGCGAAGATTCGCTAAAGCGGTCACTGTTATCCTTCCACGTGAATCCATTATATTCTATTTTAAGTGTCTGCCTCAATAGATATCGATTGTTGTACATACATTTGAGTGGACTGCACCCAATTTTGCCAACTTGTGGGAGTCGCTATCACGCGCTCTGAGAAAATT